TTGTTTTTCCAAAGAACTCTAAAAACGTATGAAACGAGAAATATAATAAGTCCAACAAAAAGTGCTCGCTGCGTTAGCCAGCTAATGAAATTAACAGTCCCTGCTGAGTTTAGTTAATTTCAGTTTCAGTATAACTCCGAGCAACTGTTATATTTCATTGTTGCTACACACCTGCGCTTTCAGGGCGCGAAAAATTGTACTGAAGATTTGTGTAAAGTGTACAGAGGAGAGTCTGTGTCGTTTGTCTTTGGATCGTATTATTATATTGTAAGTAGCACATAATATTTTATGTAATACCAGTTGCATTGTAAGGGCCATGCAACAAATATTATTATATACTAGGTACAACTGTAGATTACTGAAAAAATAGGCGGAAATATCCCAGGAATGATTTAGTCCAACCTAGGCCTGAAACCTGATATCCCTTATCCTAACGGACACTTTACATTGGACTCAACTGCGGAAAAAATAGAATTGATATTCTTTATACATAGGTATTATTATAAAACCTAAAATACCAAAAGCAATCATGACTGGCCCGGCGCGTCCCTCCCGGGCCTCGAAGAGCCATCAGACCATAGCAAGGCTGATGCCCAATCCGGAGCCCGCTGAAGACTTAACGGGTTACCGGGACTCCGGCTCGAGGAGCAGGAGTAGAAACGGGGTTTTTAGTCAATAAGAGTCTGGCACTCCCCTCGCCTCAGCCAAGGTGGGAGAAGTAATTGGACGATTTTTGCTACTAGAAAAAAAACGTCTAATAGTCTTCACTTCAAAATGTATTAATTACATGAAAGCAACATCAGCATGTGCTTCGAAGATCTCAAGAAACTTCAATTACTCTTGTATTTATGTGAGTATACTAATTAATTTAGATTTAAATTATTTGTAAACACCAAACTCTACACATTATTCAGGATACCAAGAATATAATAGATTTTCAGACATTTAAATGTGTTGTGAACCACTAGAGACGTAAAATTATTTCAAAATCTGTTTACATCAACATGATAATTATTATCACGCTTTCAGTATATCATTGAATCTAATGCTTAAAAATACTAACAAACTAAGAATTTTGCTACACCTCATTTCACAAAACCAATAAAAAATCTGGTCAAAAGTGGTATAGCCATCAAATAGTCTATTTCCATGATAGGATCAACAGTTCCCATAATTCTCCCGACATTACAAACAACTTTAAACAAAAACTTAATCTCATTAAAATAACCTTGTCCACAGGTCTCCTAGAATATGGATCTCCAAATTAAAATATGAGTGTGTCGTAATCTCCACACGGGTTAGATACTTCAGTTTAAAGGATCAGAATTTGACAAGTATTACTCTTGTCGGCACCATACGGCTAGTTAGCCATTCAACAAGAGATACCTTTATAATTACACAAAAAATCTAGTACATCTACCGTGACCTACATGAACTAGACTATTAGACGTAGTTAATGAGAGTTCTTAGGCTAGACGTTGACAAAGGCGCGAGAAACGGCAGATTAGTAAGGAGCTCGCGTTAGCCTGGCGAAGGGATTAACGCCTAACTACCGACGATAGGGTTTAAAAATACGTGAATTATTTAGACTTAAAGCGTCATTTGTCTGTGATGTAGTTTTGCGCTGTAATAAAGTCGAGTCTTCGTTATCAAAATGGAATAGGGTTCAAAATCGTGATCAACAGAACAGTCTAGCATGGTTTGCTGATTTATTTATTTATTTATTTATTTATTTATACATTTGGAAAACCAACAGCTATACAATTTGATTAAAAAGAATGTGGTATGCAACAAGAAGCCAATTACTGGTTTCCACGATTAGTAACAGAAAGTAGAAACATGCTAACACAGTACTAAAATTACTCATTAAACTCATTAAACCACAGGCAGTCTATAATGATGCACAAATTACTCCAATGATTAAGTACCATATAGGTACCCACTATGAATTAAAGAAATCAAGGTTCAGCTGCCTGCGTGCCACAGTAAGTTTTGTGTTAAATGGGTCGAATGAAAACTCTTTGCACAGTTTATTGAAATCATTGCTCGCTCGCACAATATACGAATTACTCCGATAGTTGGTTGAGGAAGTAGGTATCGATATCGGTACACTGAACCTAAATGACTTACGGGGAACATTAAAATGAAGTCTTTGCAGTATTTTAGGGCAGTCAATGTCATTAGATAGTATTTTTAACATGAATGAAAAATCCGCCAATCTACGCCTGTTTACAAGGGGTTGCAAGTGAAATCTCTTGCAAAGATTTAGATAGTCAGCACTGTGATAGTCAATTTTCAAGCGATAACATAAAGATTTTACAAACCGCTTCTGGATGTTTTCAATTCGATCGATATAATTATGATAATATGGGTTCCATATCTGAGACGCATATTCGAGGCTACATGGATGATGATGATGGACCATATAGGTTGAGTTTTCCCAAATAAAATGGAATTTCATAGTATCCACCCAGATTAGTTGATAGTGTTCAGGTTTAAAAGAGTTCAGAGACCACTGCTATCACATCTTTGTCAAATCGTATTAGTGCCAGTAGCTTAACTCGTTGAGTATCGTCATTATAGACACAATTAAATAACAATAGGTTGCGGTCACCGGTGACCGCTTGGTGTTTGACAGTTTAATGGTGACAGAGATGGTAGACCATCTCATGATATATAAAGTTTTTTTAATTAGGTATGAAAGTTCCATGGCAAAATAAAAAAGTTCCAAAAAGCTTTGAAATAAAAACGTATACTATTTTACTTTAATACTACAGTTTATTATATAATAATGCAATTAAATTTAATGAATGGAATTGAAATTATCTGCTCAATAGTCGAAAAGCATTGATGATATTTGATCATAAGTATAGGTACTTTCATATTCATACGTAAAGCCTTCAGTCTCGGCTGTCATAAGAATTCCGAGGCTCTGGGATTTTGCAAGGTAGACCGTAGGCCCGTAATGAGGAAAACATACATATACATTGCAACTAAATATGTGGATGCGGTACTTCGTGAAATCGTGGAGGTTAACTAAAATTATGAGGGACAGATTGTAACCTACTTGTGACTCCTTCTCGACTGCTATGTAAAATATTATTCTGTGAAACCATGATTTGTAACTGTCTTCAGATTTCTTAAGATAACTTTTTTCAATAACATATACATTTCACTAATTCTGTATCTCGTGTATTAAAAATTACGTCATAAGTTGTTTTTGAACATAATAATTTACTATAATAATTTCAACACACATTCTTTACCAAGAGTCATAACTGAATTAATAACATTGTAATGCAATTTGATGAAAGTTAAAGAAAAGACTGAAGAAGGAATTTTAAAATATGTTAGATACATATCGAGGGGTAACGGGCTATTTGGTTTAAGCGACATTTTTGCAACTTTACAGGAGAG